GGCCTTTAGCACATGCTACCAGTTATTAACCTTGGGTGGCTAATGTAGAAATGAAACTGCAATGTTTAAATTATAGATTTTTTTTCCATAATTAGACTTCAAATGAAATTTAGATTTTAATAATAGTCCTTATATGTGATTATAAGTTCAATAATTGCACGATCATGACAAATAGATTTATGTATTATATGTTATAAAGAATTTTTAGAAAAAATAAAGCTAATTTTCTTTCTAAAAATTTTTTTAAATATCCTGTATTTTCTCTTTTTTGGGTTTCCAATTAGGTGGAAATTGGAGATTTTGAGAGACCTTTTTCAACTCCAGCAGGGCATGTTAATAATCAGTGCAAAACAAATCAAACTCTAAAACAAGTCATAGAGAAAATTTATCCTAAAAGGTATAGAGATGACTCTTCTGAAGAACAGTTAAGGTAAAGAACTATTTGTAACTCTTTAGAGGGCGGACGCACACTAGTTTTCCGGTGATATCTTTCTGTTCAAATTTTAAAGATGATAAGATTGTACATGACAATTTTCTCAAGAGTTTTTTAATGCTGTTGATTCCCAAGAGGTTATAGGTTTTTTAAAAAAATTTAAGATGTGCCTAGAAATTTTAGTATCTAGATTTAAAACTTTTTTAATGAAAAAAAGTTTACCCGATTCAGAAGATCTGTTTTTCATTTGATTTTCCATTCTTATCCAACTTAATCTTGCCAATAAAAAAAGGAAAAAATTGTCCAAAAAGATATTTAATTTTATGACATGTTTACCAAAAATTTTTTTCTCTTAGGGTATTACATTATAAACAAATTGGAGTAAAAATAAACTATCTTCTTACACTACATTTTCCGTATAAAAATTTTAATTAAACTCAACTAATTTGGAGTTATTATTTTTGAAAGCATATAAAGAAAAGCTGTAATTCAAAAATAGAGGCAAATCCAATTCAAGAAGTTTTCTAAAACAGAAACATTTGAGATCAGTCCTTTGTCTATGTAGAATAAGTGGTTGCCTTCATGATTTTGTTTAAGAG